CTCAATATCAAAGTCATATATATATGTATATGACAAGCAAATGGGATGCTTAATATGATAAGCATCCCATTTGACTTTCATTGATTAAACAGTGAATGGAAGAAAGCTTAACATGTCTATTTTCCTAAAAATAAATAAATAGAAATAAATAATAAGAATTAGAATGTGTGTCGGGAAAAAGTCTAATAAAAACTTTTGATTCAAGCACGGAATATTGGACAAATTAATCATAATCGCCCCAAACCACACAATCTGCGTTGCGGACAGGCTGCAATTTCCAGTGAGGAAAAACATTTGGTTCGTTTGATAAGCGAGACAGCCCTACAATATCCATCCATTAAATGATTGCATCCGGCGTTTCGCACTTAATTATGGTGATTATAACGGCGATAACAAGACAACAATAACACAAAGTTTTAAGATGCAGACCGCGCAGAACACATTTTCTCTCCGAGGGGGCCCGCTCTCGTGTCTGCGTGTTCAAACACTTGTTATTTACCGGCGACGCGTTTATTTCAATTACCGTCTGCATGTCAAATTAGCTCCCGTATGTAGTGTTTATTAGCACAACAAAATAATAAAACACACACACACACACACACACACAGGAGGGGATGAGAAGGGGAGGAGATGAAGAAAGGGGGAGGGAGGGTGAAGAAGTGGGGAAGTTGGTTCTGCCTTTAATAAAGAATGAGGAATTAGTGCATATTGATAGGACTTAATAGACCAAGGGGGGTCATCAAACTAGTCGCGACTGAGCGATCCATGGGTAATTTACAATCAGTGTCATGTTGTGGGAGAGGGTGGGGGGTGGAGTAATGTAATGCGCGCGTCGTGACGCATTAATATTCACAAATATGAGAAGAAGCCTTTTTGGATGAGATTACAAAAAGGCCTGACATATAAACATATAAAAATGTATATAACATTTTAGAGAAAAATTATGTAGACGGGGAAGAGCAGGTGGAAGGGGAGTGACAAAAGTTACATCCCTTCTTTTAAATTCCTGATCACTCATCTCTTTCAGAAAGGTGGCGGTAAATAAAACTTGTGGAGCAGCATCAATCCGATCCAACATTAAGAGGGAAAACACACTTCTGGTTTTAATTCTCTAATAAAAACTTTGTCATCTGATGAATATGAATTTGAAGCTGCTTACCAGCTGCTTTAATGATTCTCTCCGTCGTGGAAAAAAAGTGATAGTTAACTGGCTTCCTGATAATTAAGCAGGTGGGAGGATATTTTGGATTCGGACCGGGCGCTTCTTCAGATCCAAATTAAAATAAACTTCTCTCCCTGCGGCCATCGATCCAGGAGAGAGGTGTGAAATGGACATTAATTTTAGTTCACTTCTGGCTGCGCAAAGGAGGGGAGCAAGAGAGATCAATGGCGAGCGATAACAGCTGACTGCTGAAAGGGAGGGGGGTGTCGAAAACGCTGACAAATAAATCATCTTTTGCTCCTTTTCCTCCAACCTAGACACTTTCTCTTCTTTGCACTTACAGACTATTCCTTTGGGAAGGGTGGAGAGAGATAGAGAAGAGGATGTTTAAATGAATAAGTAAGAAAATAAAATAGACAGATATATAGGCCTACTGAGACTTGGAAAACAAAAATCAAGGCTATTATATTTAATTTGTTTGAGAAAGAAATACAGAATTCCTCATGACAACAATGCCAATATAATTTCTTTCATATTCGTGGCTGAAAATCGGCACCATTATGTGATTTAAAGTCTATCTGTGTCACAGTGCTCCGAGGCATGGGCTCTGAATTAATTAAAGAGACTTTAATACACATAAAAACTTGTAATAAAAACACCCAAAAGTTACAATCAAAATGCGACTTTCAATGACACATATGAATACAAATATCAGACTCTCGTGTCGCGTTCAAATGTGCACGTGAAATAAAGTAGTTATACAGAGAATTTAAGCGGCGGCCTATAAATCACTGAGGTCTGAAAACTGAAGCGGAACAATTATAAAATGATACAGAAAGTGACAAGATGGAGCATTATAATCATTTTTTTTAAAAAGACCACAAACAATTTTAAATACACAAAAAAAATGTATCCGTGTATAGGAGAATAACGCAGCTTTTATTTGTCTTAATTAAAAATGGCCTTTTGGGTACGACGGGCCTATTTAGATTATCGTTTGAATACATTTTAACCCTTAATATAAATCAGTGTAACCAAAATCAATCGCTCTGAAGGTCTCATTAACATATAATTTAAAAAACAAGACTTAAGCTCCGATTTGGAGGTGTTTTATAAAACCACCTCCTGCATATGAACATTAAACAAAAAAAATTAGCACATCACATAAATCTGTACTCTGCATTACATTAATATTCAAAATTATTAATTTAAATGAATGCATTTACTGGTATCTACAATTAGTAGAGGAATGGGTTATGTACCGTAGCCTTTAATAGAGAAATGACATGTCTCATACAGGGATCATTACAGGGGAAAAAATTAAAGTGCTCACTTTCCTGATCAGTAAATTATGTCAATAAGAAATATGCCACTAAACTAATACTACCGCCGGGGGGGGGGGACTCGACTACATACTACAATCACGATTTCACTGTCCATGCTGCCATTTTAACATGTTGAAAAGAATATGTTTTTGTAACAACTCTCCTCCTTCACAACGTTGCACTTTTAAAAGATAATAGCGTATGTGGTTGGAAAATGAAAAGGCTTGACTATTCGTTACAAGTCAGGGGTTAATCTGACAATCGATAAAATCAATTTGAATGGTTTCATCAGGCTGGGTTCACCAGATCCGGATTTGGGGATTCATATTTTTGAAGGGCTATAATTTAGTCCTCACAGTTCTATGACCTGCCCCGGGCGCACCTACGCTCCAAAAGTGTGTTTTTACGCGCTATTTATTGCTGGCACTGAGAGGACTTTTCAACTTGGAAATTACTACTAATAGGTCTGCTGCATTTTTCCCACAAGACTCATTTTATTCTTTCCCGATCCGAGTGTTGCGGCTTAGTGCGGCAATGCGGGCTGATCCGGGGCGTATGCGACTGCTCACTTGTTTGCTTCAGTGAGGTCTTTACAAAAACGGCATGGATTTGATTAAGACCGGGAGGGAACTCGAGCAAAGAAATAAGGTAGTGAGCACAAATTTGTGAAATATTTCTTCAACTATAGAAGGTCATAAGTTGAGTCCGGAGAAAGTCACATAAAAAGTGAAATAAAAAGAAAGGCAGTCTCATCCACGGGCTGCACCCGTCACTCTGAATAATACCTTTAACTTTTTTAACAACAACAAAAAAATAATAAAATCACCAAGCCTATGTGAATATGAGGAGGAAGGACATACAAAATAGAAAGAAAAATACACAAACTCCTATCATAAAGGCCGGGAAGTCGTTTGCTAAAAAAGATCTAAAAATAAAGTTGATTTCTGTTAAACGTGATAATCTTTTCCTCCTGATGAGACACGGTAGAATCTGAAAATGTAAATGAAAAGTGAATGTTGTATCCGGTAATACTGACGCATCATCAGCAGCGGGATTGGGCTTGGGGGAAGCCGATTTTGGCTCACCGTTGTCGGCCATGAAGCTGTAAGGCCCTCGGGACTTCCTCTGGCTGGGCGCTGCTTATTTAGGGGGAGGATGTAAATTATAGTGGCTCCCTAGTTAACAGGTGTTTCCCAACTGTGTGTAGGCCTGTGTGTGTGTGTGAGAGAGAGAGAGAGAGTGAGTGTGTACGCGCGTTTGTGCACGTGTACACGCATGCTACGAAGCGAGTCGCCTTCTTTTTAAATTCAAGCCGTCTGTTTCTCTTTGAGAGAAACTGAGAATAATTTGTTGCGCATATGAAAGGGCTTGCATTTACACACGCTCATAGGGGGAGGGTTTCCTGTAAAAACACTTTTCTCCCTTTTTTTCCCCTCAAGTTTTCTTCATAATTCATAATTTTTTATTTTAATTATTACAGTCACATTTGGTTAGATAAAACTAGAACTTCAAAATACGAGATTAAAACGCAAATGCTTTTATGAAAATTAATGATCCCATTATTACAGTATGGTTGTGGTCCAGGAGTCCTTCATAAATGTATATCTGTGTTAGTTATTCATTAAAATCAGCCTCATCAGATGCTTTACTGGACCCCATCTAACGGGGCCAATATGCGGCAGTTTAAGCCACATGCCCTCATCATTATGAGCGCTTTAGTGCTCCACAGCAACAGTAACTTTCACTGAAAACCAGTTATAGAATGGTCCAGTGAGATATAAGCACTGCTGCCTTCATATGATGAACAAAAACTCAACTTTTAAATAAATATATTAACTGTAGGCCTGCTGACTATCGCTCGTGATTGAGGATCTACTAGATAACGATAGGAGAGGATCTCGGCAGCTCTGCAGAACTAATTAAGATAACAGTTTATCTGGCAGAATTTGCTAGCATTTTTTTATTCTTTTACTTGGAGATTTGAGAATAATTCACATGATCTAATCAATCAAAGCAAAGACAAAATAAGTATTTAGAGTGTTAAAAAGTTTAAATATTGGTTCGTGCAGAACATTTGTAATGCCATAATGTCTAGTGATGGCAATGTAATAGCACTGACACACGCACTATACTGAAACAAGTGTTTTCAAGAAGCCACTTTCTTGTTTGCGAATCTGGCATGCGCACGCACGCCCGTGCGGACACACTTAGATAGAGAGAAACAGGTACAAACGTACATGCACTCACGCGCACACGCGTAAAAGTCGGTGTCCAAACGCAGAAACAAGGTGCCGTGACTTTTTCTATATATTTTTTTTCGCGCGTGGTAACGCCACCGTGCACAACGCCCAAAGCGCACAATCCCCGAGAAAGTTTATGGAAACGACACGAAATCCGCTTCCAAAACTGAAAGGCGCGGCGGAAAGCGAAAAAGGCGTGGAAGCACAAACTGTAAAAGCTTCAAACCCAACAACAACAACAACAACAACAAAAAGACAGTCAGTATTACTCACCTCGCGGTGGTACAATCCGCTTCTTCTGCAGACGACTCCTCGGTTTCCGGCTTCTTTTTTTATCCTCACAACAAACGGAAAACTTTTCTGCCAAGTGGGAATATCAGTAGCAGTTGCCCTTCTGGCTCTTGCGCAGCAGCACCGGAGATAACGGGAGGCGCTTTGTGGAAGCAAAAGTAGTTAACACCTCCCTGTTAGGTTACCAAAGCGCAGCCAGAGAGGAGGACACAGAGAGCGAGGGAGAGAGAGAGGCCGGCTTTCCACAAACACAGTGTAAAGTGGGTATCAATAGCGCAATCGCGCGTGCAGCTCCTCCGCTGAAACACCGAGAGGGACGATCAGTGAGAGGAAAGACGAGTGAAGCCGGTGAGGGAGCGCAGGATCGCAGAGACGGTGGCAGGCAGTGGTGGTGGTGATGCGAGGGGATGGGGGGGTCTAACAGTGCTCAACGGCGACGTGTGTGAGGCTGGAGCTGGGCTGCGCGAGGCTGAGCGGAGAGCGTGGGGGTGGACGGGGGAGGTGGTGGAGAGGGAGGGAGGGGTGTCCAGGGCGCTCCGAGGTGCAGTGCTGCCGCGCAGTGCTCGGGTCGCTTAATGACTGACTGACAGACACCTCTGCTTCTTTTTCTTAGTTAAAACAATACACATTTATTTAATAACCATGACTTCTTGGGCATTTCAGTGAGCTCTGAGCTTTTTTCAAATTGGTAATACTAGCGCTCACAAACAGTGGGCTGCGCTCTTTCTTGTCTTAAGAGAATCTGGATCTTCTGTGAGAGATCAGGGAACCGGACAGTGTTAACGTTCTATATTAGTGTCATTCTTTTGCAAGATAAAATAAATAGTGACAATGTTTCTGTCATGACAAAGTGACAAAGTCAGCTTACCAACATCTGGCTTTTACCTTCACGGGTGAATTTAAATTATCAAAGGAATTTCGTTTTTTATTTTCTGTTAGTGTGTGCGTGTGCACTGTTTCTCAACTGCCCCCAATCCTCTGCCTCTCCCCTCCGTCTGGTGTTTCGTTCCCCTGGGTGATTTCTACTGCGCTTTGTGCGCAAAGTGAATGAATTATCCCCCTCCTCTGCCCCCCACCCCCACCCCCCCCTCTCTCTCACCCGTTGGAGAGGCTGCTTGCCATAAAGCCAATGAAGTCCACCTCTTAACAAAAAGAGGTGGACTACCAGACACTCTTATAAAGTGCGCACTAGAGACTGAAGTTAGTGACACAGAGGGAAGTTCAGTGCGGGTGCGTGGCAAAGTCCCGGCATCGATCAATCAACACTTGTAAGAGATTTACAAATAAAGTATGAACATTTTATGGGAACGGTCGAGCACTTATACTTCCAAACACCAGCGAGCAATTTAATTGTATTAAATCCCCCACACATATAGGAAACATTGGTTTGCAATCAGTCTTGGATTATTTTTTATAGAAATGACCGCTACCATCTGCGATTGTTTTTAATTAAGTTATTTATTTTTGTGTTTGAATGGAGAGAAAACATTCATTTTGGACTTCACTGACTGGACCATCTTTGTGACTGTACATGACCTTCCATAACCAGCAACAAAGCACTGACAGCTCCTTGACCATCAGTGTAACAAACTGTCAGAGTTCATTATGGGAAAATAAGAGGCACGGCTATTTTATGGTACAAACACATCCAACGTGGAGTTTTACCCCCAACTATTAGCCCTGGAAAATTTCACATGGAACATTTATTTATATTATTAACTATAATATTTAATTGGCGCATTGGGCAAAATAAAGTGTGTCTGTGTTTTCAGGACAGTGTGCGTCAGGCTGAGGGAGCATGAGAGAGACATTCAGAAGAGATCCCTGGTGTCCCTCGTCTTCCTCTCCACTACACCCCCCTGCTGGTCACGTGTGGAACTGACCAATACTACTAAGAGCTTTAACTTCTTTCTTCTGTTTCAAGTCACTTTGAGTCAGTAACTGTAAGCAACTGATTGATGCTGCTGGTGGCACATATTCGTTTTCATGGCAAGTGGGAAAACTGTGACATAAAATGACTTCTTACAATAAAGCACATTTGGATAAATATGTACAAATCACTTTGTATTATCAGGAAATTCTCTGGTCCTACAAACCAAAAAAATCTGAGAGAAAAAAACACTGTATTTTTTGATTCATATGACATTAGCTTGAAACTAATGAAATACTGAGCTAAACTGGCCTACTGCGTTAAAATATGACAAATTTTCATGGGGGATAAAAAAAAACAGAACTTGTGACAATATTACATAAAAAGAAAAAGATAATTACAAATGCTATGTATATGATAAATAATATTGATACCCTTTCACTGTTACAGAAACAGTCAAGTCACAAAACTCTTATCCAGATCATATTCATAAAGTATTCAAAAAGTCTGATCACACACACAAAAAAGACTTGAAGCAGCCAAAAAGAAATACTTGCAGGTCCAGAATGATGGTTCAGCTTAACATATTAAACACAACAGAAGCAGGTACAAAAATTGTTTCTTGCCTTCAGATCCACCCTAGATCTGTAGGTCTGTGACAATAAGACTGACTCCATCTAATTTCCACCAATAGTTCATCATACAAGATGTGTGATGGTTTTCTAATGGAACTCACACTTTGATCTGGTTTCATGCTATAATATACCAATGTGTCAGGTAACAATAGCGTGGGAAAAGTGAAGAGGGTTGTGAGTGTGTGTGTGTACGCTGGGTGGTCTCCATACACATGAGGAGCAGTAGCAGTGCCATTAGTGGTGTGTTGTCTTGCTAATAGGCTCAGTTTGGAGTCAATGGACTGACTGAGGAAGAGGACCATCCATGTATTAGATCCCTCTCCATTCAAAGTCTAATGCCACCCTTCAGTCCAACCCTCTGATGTTTTTAAATGCTGCCTCTGTGTGTATTGACTAGGAAGCACTTTGATAGCACCTGTTTCACTGCTGAGGCATCTACACTGCTTCTCTCCCCCCACTCAAGAGGAAAAACATGCAGATTTCAGAGGCAGAAGATACTGTGGTATTAAAGGTGTAAGACATATAGGTCATTTTAACTCAAATCAAACACAAAAAAAATAGCTGACACTTTTGGTTTTATTTTACTAGGTTTTTAAATATCCATCTATGCCTCCACAACAATACACCAATAACAAGAATACAGAATGGGATTGGGTTTGTGGAGCTCACAGCACTGAAAAAGTTCAACAGGATCAACTCTTTCCAGAAATCAAACTGGAGTTCCTGGATTATATTTCACGTCTCACAGAAATCAGAAACAACATGTCCCCAGTTGCGTTTACTCTTTGAATGCCCTTTAAATGACAGACAGTTTCTTTTTCATTCATGTTCATGCAGTGCTTTTGTCTTAGAGTTAAGAGTGAAACAGAGCCTTGGAATAATAGTATTTATAGAAAATGAATTGTGTTTTTTTGTTATTCTGAGTATCAATTAACGCATAAGTACTTGTATGTTCTCAAATGCAAGAAATGGCTGAAAAGCCATCTTCTCCCATACACTGAACTCCCCTCGCTGATGGCATGACATGAAAGTACAAAATTGCGTGTTGACACAGGTTAACATCAGGGCTTGTTCTGTTTTTCAGCAGATGTCTTCGCATCCATCTGAACTGAGTCATGTCCTTGTGTTGTGAAACCCCTGACATCTCTGGAAAGACAGAGTGATAATGAAAAGTCAAGCTGACAGCAGAAGGCCGGGTCTGCCCTCTCACAGCCTGCTTTCACCTCTGCTCGGCCGGGTTTATCTTTAAATTGAATTCCACTTTTTCAAAACTCTAAACTAGGAGGGCTGGACTGAGATGAGTAGAGTGGAGAGGGTGTGACAAGCTGTGGGCTTCTGCTTTGTTTATGTTGCTTGTTGGCTTGGCTACCGGGCACACTCTTTAAATGGTAGAACATACCAGTTAGGTGGGGGAGAAAGGCAGTGTAGTGAAGCCATTTTCTTTTCTTTTTTTTAGCTGGTTGGTGTATATACAGATAAAGACATGGTTTCCTAGCAGGAAAACCTTCTCTATTTTATGGCTTGAACCCATAATCCTTTGATATTTTAAGGCAGCTCAAACTTGACCCTGACTACCACCCAGTGACTAAAGTAATACCCTGTTAGGTCCTTTACCCCACGTGGAACTTAATTCCTTAAACAAACCATGTTTGAGTGTGATTTACAGCTAATCTGGACAGGCAACGGTCATTTCTATCTTTCCTTTAATAATTTACGATTGGTGGAATTTATAGCACCGGCTCCCCAGCCGTGCATGCCGCCAAATCCATATGTCTGTAATATAATGAGATTTTAGCGCAGCGAGATTATAAATTATGGTGTGATTTGTTCTCTCGCTGTTTTGTCAGGGCATAGCCTTTGAGTGTGTGTGTGTGTAGCTTGGGGACATGGCTGGCATTTGGCTGCCATGACGCTCTAATTGCTGACGTACACACAGATAGATGGGACCTGATGGTTTGTGTCGCCACTGGAGGGAGGGAGGGAGGGAGGAGAGGGGAGAAAGAGAAGAAGTGAGGAACGAAAGGGGAGGATGAGGAGAAAGAACAAGAATAGCTGACTATAGGAGATGAGGAGGGGAGGATGGGGAGGAGAAATGGGAAGTAGAGCATGGGTGGATGGGTGGATAGATGAAGAGACAAGTGAGGAGGAGAGATATTGTCTTGTGGCAGGAGACGCAGCTGCCAGCAGCTACATGGCCAAGCGGTTAACCACACTGAAGGAGCCACATTTAGAGAAAGGACAGCAGAGAGACGGAGAGAGGAGGGACAGAGACTCAGCCACATTCATCTCGCTCTCAGATCCGTTGCTCCAGGGAGCTGTTGGAAAATGAAGAATTACATGGCCCTGATCAGATTACGTTACAGAACAAGTGATTACATGCGTTTGACTCTTGTATAAAAGAACAAAAAAATGAAGGAACAGAAAGGAAACATACATGATCTGATTAATTATGTAATTATGTGGTGTTTATTCTGGCTATGATACATGGACATAATTCTGTGGGAAGGTAGATGGGTAATTTTATCTATGTTTCACTGCTTGCCATCAAAACCTGCTTTAATATAAATGTTGATTTTGTCCCAGACTTGACTGCTACTTAAAAACATCAACGTCATCATGTTGGTTTTGCATGATGAAAGTGGGGGGAAGACATGAGATCTGAATAACAAGGCTGTTTCTAACATGCCACTTATTAGGTCAAGATTCACTTTATTATTTAGGTGACAAGAAAAATGTTAAAAAACTTATATTATCATAATTTGCATGTCCCTATTAGAATTTGTACATACACTTACGATGAGCTAAATTAAGTTCTCATCAGAAAGATGAGCATTTTTTTAATTGTTTGCATGCCTAAAACCAGGGGTCCTTTTGTTATCCCAGACTGTTTTTATACAGTGCTTTTGCCCAGT